CTAGACATTCTTCCTTTATCTGCCTCTCACAACTGCTCCTTGCTCTCACCTTCCTTATCTGACTCGCAATCCCACCTTGGAAAATGGGATTTCAAACCCCTCAGCCTGACTTCTCCAGACCTTGGTGGTGGCAGCTCTGAGGGAAAGATTTGCCTCTGGTCAAGATAAAAAAGGAAGTATTTCAAGCCTTCCTCGGGCAGACTAAGGAAACAAGCCACCTTAGGACCCCTCTGAGAACAGCACTGGTTCGCTAAGGGGTTGGCTGGCTAATTAGCACAGTGATAGCACTCCCTGGCAAGGCCTTGGGTTCTACAGGAAAAGGAAAGCGTCCTCAGATAACGGCACTCAGTGTAGTTAAATATATGCAAGGCCTCACTGTTTGGCTCTGGCTCTTCTGAAACTCACTATGTAGGCTGGTGACCTCTGCCTCCAACTGCTGGGAGAGATTAAAGGTGTGCACAAACATACAACTAAATGTCTCAGGACCACGTCCCCACAGCTGGTAAGAGTTTGTGTCTTTGGTTCTTGGATCTAGAGAAAAGGGTTCTTTTTTCTTTGGTTCCTTTGTATGTCTTCATGAAATCCACCCTGGCCCTGGGGCCTGGAATTTCTGATTCTCCTGTCTCAGCCTATGGAAGAACGGATCTTAAATTTATGACCATCCTGCTTTCCCTCATTCAGGGATTACACACCAGGCTAAAGGAACACTTGGTGTGATGTGGTTGCATCTTCTTGTAATTCTAGATATTTTTTTTAATATTGTTTATTATGTATACAGTATTCTTCCTGCAGGCCTCACTACAGATGGTTGTGAGCCACCATGTGGTTGCTGGGAATTGAACTCAGGACCTTTGGAAGAGCAGTCAGTGCTCTTAACCGCTGAGCCATCTCTCCAGCCCTCCTTTTTGAATTTTAATTGTCAAATTATAGCTGGATATATTCTTTTTTCTTTTTTTTTAAATATTTATTTATTTATTATTTATACAGTTAGCCAGAAGAGGGTACCAGACCTCATTACAGATGGTTGTGGGCCACCATGTGGTTGCTGGGAATTGAACTCAAGACCTTTGGAAAAGCAGGCAATGCTCTTAACCGCTGAGCCATCTCTCCAGCCCTATTCTTTTTTTCTTGAACATTACATATAGTTAACACCAGGTTGTAAATAATGTGCAGTTTTAACATCATCCCAACAAGGCTTTGTTCTCCAAAGCCCTCCATCAGCACTAATGTCTCGGCTCTTCCTGCAATTTTTTAAGTGGACCAGTAAATGAGTAGTGTTTTTGATGTTTCAACATGTTCTCTCTAGCCCACACAGCCTAAGCTGTCCCTCAAATTTGGCAATCACTTTGGCCTTTGACTCCCAGGTAGTGAGATTAAAAGTATTAGCCAGGATACCTGATGTACCAGTGTTCTTGGTTTTGAGGTAGGGTCTCGGGTAACCTAGGTGGACTTCTTTACCTCACCTCCTGGTTGCTGACATTGTAGGCACGCTCAGTCTTTTTCTTAAGCTCCTCCCACCAGTTGGAAGGATGGGACAGATGGAAAATCAAACAGCTTGAGGTATATGGCAAGACTTAAAAAGAAACCACACGGGACTAGAAAGATGTGGTTAAGAGCACTTCCTGCTGCATTCTCGGTATGTGTAATGTCAGCCGGCTCACAACCACCTTTATAATTCCAGTTCGCGGGGAGCCAATGCCATCTGAATTCAGAGGGGAACACAAGTGTTCACCACCACACCTTACATCTGAATCAGGTTTTTAAATTGCATTTTATGCCATTTACCTTCTGGTTTGTGTTTGTGGGGATGGGGGCGGGGCGTAGTTAGACTCAGAGCTGCCTGCCTCTGCCTTCAGAGGGCTGAGGATAAAACATGTGCTGGCCTGTCTGGCTGTTGCCTTCAGTCTGTGTGCCACAGGTGTAGCTTGGTGCCTTTAGGGGTCTACAGATGATGTCTCTTGGACTGTAGTTACAGACGGCTTTCTGCCATCTCTCCAGTCCTGGGTGTCATATTTTAAAATTCTCATTGAAGTGGGGCCCTGACTGTTTTTGCCATTCACTACGATACTTTGTTCCTGAGTAGTGTTGCATTGTTAAGTATACTATGTTGTGTTTGTCCATGTCTCTCTGTTTGACATTTGAATTGTCTCTTTCCCTACTATGAAGAAACCCATTGTGAAGATTTTTATTGAAGGTTTTCTGTGCAGAGGGGCCGAGCGAGTGTTTTCCTGGATAAATGGCAGTGGAGTTGCTGAGTCATGGCACTTACAACTTTCCCCCAGCAGTAATGAATGAGTTTCAGTTGCTGGGCAGCCTAAGTGGGACCCGGCAGATTTTGCCTTTGGTCATTCTAAGCACAGCTACAGCATTTTAATTCTTAACCCAGTGTGTGCTTGGATTTCTTGAGGCAGGTTTTCCGTAACACTCCTGGCCAGATAACAGGAAGACCTCAACATCCTGAGTCTCTTAGCTCTTTTTTGGTTTTTCGAGACAGGGTTTCTCCGTAGCCTGGAGCTAGCTCTTGTAGATCAGGCTGGCCTTGAACTCACAGAGATACCACCCCCCCCACCCCGCCTCCGCCTCACACGTGCCGGGATTAAAGGCGGGATTAAAGGCGTTTGCACCACCTCCGCCCAGCACTTAGCTCTTTTTGAGATGAACTCTTGATGTTTGGTTGGCCTGGGAATCTTCATAGACTTGGTGGTCTCTTACTGGAGGCTGCCTTTATCTCTGTCTCCAAAGTGTTCTGGCTACAGGTGCATGCTACCTTGCTGGGATTAGGCTAAAGAAAGAACTTCAAATCTAGCACCTCCTTTAGGCCTTGGATCTCTGAGTTCATGGTCAACCCGGTAAGCAAAGCCTTTTCCTGGACTGCCAGAGGGAGGGGATTTCTTTCACCCACTAGCCCTGAGTAACCTTGCTTGCACCAGCCTCCTGCTTCTCCTTCAAGAAAGCCAGGATTAGAGATGAGAGCTGTCACCTGCCTCACAGTGTAGTGTAGACTACCGCTTTAAGACTTTATGTTCTGGAATTTACTTAGCTGTTTTAAAATTCTGAGGTCTGTTTGTAGCTTATAAATGAGTGATGGGGTTTCGCATGTTTCTCCCTTAGAATTCCTTCCAATAAGGGGACTTTTTTTTCTCAGCTTAAATTTTTCTTTTTTGTATTTTATCGTTTTTTTTTAAATTTTCTTTTACATTCCAACCACTGTTCTCCCTCCCATCCCCCCCCGCCCCCCCATTCTTAAATTTTTCTTAAAGTAAGCTGCCTTGAGTTGCCTTCCTACTGGTATAGACTCCTGGGGTTGGCTAAGAAGGACAGTTGCATTTGTTTGAGAAAAGATGTGGCCTATATGGGGTTTCGTTGGCCTGAAGTTCACTATGTAGCAGAGCGCCCCTCACGCTCCTCATTGCATTTAAACGCGGGAACCACTGCACTAGAAAGAAACCAGAGAAGGCGGATAGTTTGCTTTAAGCGTCTACCATATATCTTCTCTGAAATTAGTTACCCTGCCCGTGGTCTGCACTGAAAGTTCCAGCTCTTGAGGTAGGAACAAGATCCGTGATCTTCATCGCTGGTAGACAAGGGGTCTAGAACAAGGCTAGCCTCTGAGAAAGGCACCTGCTTCTGCCCCGCCATTACTAATATTCAAGGTCTGGGACACCATACCTGACTGTGCTGTTAATTTTTGATGGAACTAGGAAATAATCCCAAGGTCTCTGCTCCACCACATTTGTCATTAGATTGCACGGGAGGTGTGGAGCAGAGTACCAGGATGGCGTAGTTTGAGAGAGAGCTAGCCTTCCTCTGCCATAGTGGTGCGCCATAGTGGTGCTCACAGTTGGAATATATGTGGTCTTCTCAGCTGGCTACCTGCTAACTTACTCAGCCTCAAACCTTGCCCAATAATGCTTCTGCACGTGACAGTCTTCTGCATGGCAGCAATTTGTCCCCTAATTGGTAAGGAACAGGACGGACCACAGGCACACAGTAATAAAGGTGGGGTAGACCCGAGGCGTCCCACAGTTTTGGTTCAAGGTGACTTTAGAGATTTGTTGAACACCTGAAGTGCAGGGGTATGCAGCAACACCCCCCCCTGGATATCTAGTGTGATTGAGTGTGAGTGTGTGTGTGACCACCACACCTCCCAGATCTCCCAGGACTGGAGTTGTAAACAGTTGGAAGCTTCCAGGTGTGGATGTTAGGAACCAAACCCAGATTGGCAATGAAATCAGCACTGAGCCAGCCCCTGGTGGTGCTTACGTGAGTTATTTAATTTTTTTTAAGTGCTTGCTGTTGTGAGATGTGGGTGTGGGTCCTGGAAGAGCATAAGACATGAGCGACTATACCAGGGTGATAATCATTTCAGGGCAGGTAATCCAGTGCTTGAGGGTTAAAGAAGAAATGCCAGGCAATCGCTCCCTAGGGTATAGTGCATGAAGCCGTGACTCATTTCTCTCCTTTCATACTGTGTGTGTATTAGAAGGTAGGTGAGAGAGAAAGAACTTATGCATGTGATGACAGTTCCATCTTTCAACAGATTTTGACAAATTGTTCATGCCTGTGATGGGGTCACAGGGAAAATTCAACATGCTGTGCACTTTAGCTTTGCATCACAAATGCGCCCCCCACCCCAATCCTTTGTGATGCTGGGTACTGAATTCAACCAGACATCTGAACAGGTGTATTACTACCTTTGATTGGCTGAGTCACTCTATATAGCCCTGGCCAGCCTACAGGTCATAGACCAAACACAGGTTTACATGCCTCTGCCTCCTCGGGGTTACAGGAGTGAACTGTGTGGTTTACATGGGACAGGGATGGGTGCGTGGAGGAAGATTAGGACGTAACACATGCTACTGAAGCCATGTCTCTAAGCTCATTTTAAGTGCCGACACCTGTAGTCCCTGCTTGGATGCATAGCAAGAGTCTGTGAACCAAGGACTGAAGCAGTCTTATTTCAGCAGCTAATGGGAGAAATTTCTGTGCTTACTTTACAGAGAGACAATAACAACAAACCAGTAAATGGCCTCAAATCAGAGTCCATGGAAGACAGTCAATGTGGCCATGGGGAAGAGCAGAGATTGGATTTGAATTCACAACCCCTTGAAAATGTAGGGAAGAGTGCAGAGAGCATGACAGGAATTGAGGTGGAGAACTGGACACCAAACAAGAAATCAAGCCCAGAGAGTCAAGTCAAGGGAGACCTCGATACAAATTTAACTGAGGTTGGAAAGCCCCAGCCCTCTGAAGATGACAAGCAACAAAGCCAGCCTTCCCCGATGTTTCCTCAGGCCATAAGAAACGGCATGAAAAATGTGTACTGTTTACCTATGGACACAAACCTTCCAATCAACAAATTGGATCTTGAAGAAATTAGCAAGGTGCTAGGAAATAGTTCCTCTAAATTGCTGCCTGACCCCTCCAACGGCAAGGATGCCATGAACTCTGTCGCTTCCGATGGGAGCTGCGATCATCTCAAGGGGTCGAGCGACGCTTTGCTCTTCCAGAAGCCTGGCTTGAACTGCCAGTCTGCTGCAGCCCCCACCATCCCTAAGGATCGTCCTAAGACACACAGCTCTGGCTGTCAACCCCAGAGCCCCGAGAAGGTACCTAGTAAAGACCCTAAAGATGACTCTCCAGTTCAGCCAAGTCTTCTGTCACTGATGAAAGACAGGAGACTCACCCTGGAACAAGTGGTAGCCATTGAAGCCCTTACGCAGCTTTCAGAAGCTCCATCCGAGAATTCCTCGCCATCAAAACCAGAGAAGGGTGAAGAAACAGATCAGAGGACAGCTAGTCTGCTTGACAATTGCAAGGCTATCCTTAACTCTGTGAGAAAAGACCTCCAAGACCCAAACATAAAGTGTCTTCAGCACCAGAACACAGAGTTCAAGTTGCCGGATAGTTCAGCTACTAACCAAACACTTGAAGATTCGGATTCACTTACAGCTGGAGATGAACCTACCTTTGATAGTTCTAAGAATTCATATCCATTGCCAGTAGAAAGTCATACTCCAGAAGACTGCAGTCAGGCACTAAACGGCGACCAAAATTTGAATTCCCAGCATGAGCCAGCATGCCAGGATGTGCCCTACAGTCAAATTGAGGAAGATGTTGCAGCCCAATTAACCCAGCTTGCATGCACAATTAATTACAATCATATAAACCCAGACGTCAAGAATGCCGGAAGTATACCAGGGAGCCTTGCTACAAAGAATACACAGCAGAAACCTAGTCAGGAGAAAGGCATGGCACAAGAGAAACCAGCGTCGAGTATACAAAACAAACCTAGTGTACCACCAGCAAAGCCAAAGAACAAGACCCAGAAGAAAGCAAAACAGACCCCCAAAACAGACAAGCGGAAAAAGGAACCTTCACTCCCTAGCTCTCAAGAAAACAATCAGAAGCAAGAGCAACTTGCAACTCAGTATAGTAACATGCATGACATTTGGATATCATCCAAATTTCAAAGATTTGGCCAGTCTGGTCCACACAGTGTTCCCAACATGTTTGGAAACTCTGCTATCTTTTCCCAGAAATTGAAACCAATAGCTCAGAATAACATACCCTTACAACCCTGTATGACATTTCTTCCTCTCCGTCAGATAAAATTCACGAGACAATCTGAACTGGCAAAGGAGAATGTTAAAGTTGAACCACCAGATGCTCTACCAACATGCCAAATCAAGACAGAATCCAGTGGGCAGGCAATTGCAGAGCCGGTAGATAATTCTCAGGTACAGTCCTCAATGAATAGCAGTGAGAAAGCTCACCCTCTGCCTCAGCCCTCCCCTCAGTCCACCCAGTGTGCTAACATGATGCCTGGTGCTGCTCAAACACAGTTACAACTAGGCGCTCAAGAGAACCTGGTGCATCCAATACCACCGACGTTGCCTGGTACCTGTCCTGAGACACCCTTGCCAGACCCAGCATCCATCCTCAGGAAAGGGAACATGGCAGGTGTGAATGCGAAGCCGGAAGCGCAAGCACCAAGCCATGGACCACGGAGCGACTCCTCCACACACAGTGTCCAGATGGAGTTTTTTGAGCACATCAAGAAATACCTTAGAGACCCTGCAAAATTCTTGCAACCTGAAGTGAATGAGACAGAAGAGCCAACCTGTGACTGTAATGGTACGTGATCTTTGGTGTGCTTTCTAATTCATCTTCTGGGTGGGGCATCTATGTAGTCTAGCTAAGATACTCTAAGGAATTCTGTTCCTGTTTTTTCTAGTATTCTCCTTAGAGAAAAGGAAGTTTCAACTGGGAAAAGTAAACTTTTTCAAGTGAAGAACAGGATTAAAGTAGTTCATTCATTTTAATGACAAAGAATGGGTTTCAATGTTTAAAATATAGACTTCAACCTGCAAGTATTTAATTTGATAGCTTTTTCTTGTGAAAAGCCGAATGTGCATACATAGAATGTAAAAATAAGTACGGCTTGTAGATAGCCGAAAATGTCCACAGCTTCTGCCTGTGTTGTCTCAGCATCTGCACAAGCCTGGACCCCAAGTTCTGTGCCAAGAAGCCATGATGAATGTTCTCTGGTTGGTGCTGAGGAAACTGGGCTTTACTACGAAGCAAGTCTTTTTTTGGGGGTGGTGGTGGTTTGAGACAGGGCTTCTCTCTGTTCTATAGACCAGGCTGGCCTCAAACTCTGCCAGCCTCTGCCTTCTGAGTGCTGGGATTAAGGGCCATCACTGCCTGCCAGACAGAAGCCTGGGCTCTCTAATAGGAACTTGTCACAACAAAACAAATAGGGCTAAAGAAATGAGTCAGCCAGGCAGGCAGTGGTTCCCACACCATCTGTGACTCCGCCTTCAGGAGATCCTAACTGCATCCTCTACTGGGCACTGCAGTCATGTGCACAGACAAAAAGATTTTAAAAGCTGCAAGAGCTGGAAGAAATGTTTCAGAAGCGTTGTTCTCGCAGGCGACCTAGGATCAGTCCCCAGCACAGATGCGGTGGATCACATATCCACAACTGTTTCCAGGAAACCCAGCGCCCTCTTCTGACCTCCTGGAGTAATTGCCATACACTTGGTACACGCACACGCATATATTCATATAGGGAAAACATTCGCATGCATAACATTAAAGGGAAAAAGTAAGCTTTTCCTCAGGCTTAGGAGGATACACAGGTCTGTTTCCTGGATGTTGCAATTCAAGGTGTTTGCTGGCACAGATGGCTTTTTCTTTCTCTGAAACAAAATGACCCTGTTTCTAAGACATCAGTCTCCGCTGGTGTCACAATTACTGAGCATTCTTTTTTGAAATATTGTCTCATGTATGAGACATGACAGTTTACCTTGTGTACCCTGACTAGTCACTGTCCATCCAGGAGGCAGTGGTGGGAGAATCTTCTTTTGCTTCTTAGCAAGTTCAAGGCAAGCACCGGACTGCATCAGAGAGTGATCACGTGAATCAGGACTGTTTGAGCTAGTCCATCTGCCGTGAAGTACTTTTCTGGGTTTCCTGAGTTCGTGGTTATCAGGTTTGGCAGCACATTGATGGACATTGAGTGCCGTGATTTTTTTTTTTTTTTTTTTTAAAGTCAGTGGTTCTCGACCCCTTGGCGGGGTGACTGACCTTTGGCCACCATAAATATCAGCTTTGCATCGCTCACCACAGCCTCATGTACATGAGGAACTATAGAGGCCTCAGCACTGGGAAGGTTGAGAGGCGCTGTTCTAAGGGATGCCGTGTTCTTAAACACAGTCATCTCAGTAGCATCGTTGTAAGTGAGCATCTTGTTTTCAGGATAGTATTAAAACACTCAAAAAGTAGGCCATTTTCAGATCGATGCTTGTCCAACTTAGAAGTTTTGACATGTTAGACCTAAGCAGGGACTGTCCTGACATGCTTGATTTCATGTTATTCCGGGTCCCTTTATATTAGATGGAAGCCATAGTGCATACACACACCCCAATCATTGCCAAATGTCGCTATGGGCAGAAACATCCCTGTTCTTCCAGAGGACCCAGGTTCAATTCCCAGCACCCACATGGAGGCTCAGAACCTTCATCCTTCACAGGCTTTTGCATGCATGTGCACAAACCCACATGCAAACATGAAGATCCACCTGCCGCTGCCCCACCTACCCCTCCAGGATAAAGGAGGTGGTGAAGCCAGTTTGGGTGTACCTTATTTTCTGCCTTACTTTGTTTTGTTATTTTTTTTTTTTATTGCAAATATTCCCTTGCTTGCTATACTGGTTCCCACCCCCTCATTACCAACAAATCGACCTACAGCATTCTATGTGCCAAGGAAGCCCCCCACATCTGAGATACATCCTCACACCAGAATAATGACTTGTAAAAATACCATGGCTAGAAATACAGTTGTCAGTTTGGGGATATAACTGATAATTGTAACAAGTAACTTTCTTGTACACCTGCATTATAAATACCGAAGCTAACTTTTCAGATTTTTAGCAGTGACTACAGATAACTACGTTCCAAAGTGGACAAGGGAGCCAGGTGTTATTGGCAGTAGAGTTCAAGGTCATCTTTGGCTGTTTAGTGAGTTGAGGCTCTACTGAGACCCCCATCTAAATAATTGCTAATAAAAAGGAAGACAAGAGAATAAATACAATCAATCCCCTTAAATTTTTTGGTCTTCTCTCCTTTGACGCCTAGAAAAATTAGGAGCCAGAAGGTGGCAACAGGGGCAAGTCCAATGCCAGGCCCTGTTGTCTTATTCTTTCAAAAAGAAAAAAGCCCCTGTGCTTTTTTTTTTTTTTTTTTTTTTTGCGAAACTGGGTCTAATAATCTTATTCCTTCCACAGATGGAGGTACACAAAAAGACAAAGGCCCATATTATACACACCTGGGGGCAGGACCAAGTGTTGCTGCTGTCAGGGAGCTCATGGAGACTAGGTGAGGAGATGTGTTTCCCTGCTAAAACCATTCTTCCCTGCGAACCTGGGTCTGTGCAGGGGAGTGACCCTGAGGCGAATGAAGTCCTTCCTCCCAGGAGCTCGGGGCCCTGGAGACATGCCCCCACACTGCAAAGCCTATTATTACTGTACAACGGTAGAAATAGGTCAGATGACCACCACCAATGCTGGAACCCTAACCTCCCGACGCTTGTGTTGAGGTCAGGCTCTCGTTAGAACTGGGTAACAACCCACCACACAGCAGCTGGCTTTTAGCTGAAGTAATTGACAACGGTAACATTTGTATCTACAGACTGTCATTAATTAGTCCCATCCCCTCTCTCTTCTGTACTCAGGTATGGCCATAAAGGAAGGGCAGTACGGATTGAGAAGGTAGAGTACACGGGGAAAGAAGGCAAGAGCTCGCAGGGCTGCCCAGTCGCCAAGTGTGTGAGTACCGCCAGTATGCTTTTCCTGGTTCTTGGGAGAATTGGTTTTTCACATAGGATTTTTCACATAAGGTTTTGTTTTGGCCAAAGTGGAGACTACTACAAAACTAGCATCCCTAGTGGTCATGCACACCAAAGGGCACCGAGAAATTCCACCTAACACTACATGCCAATAACCCAATAGGAGACTAAGAGAAAGGTTTAGGAGGGAGGGATCGTGGAGTAGAAGTACGCGTCAACTTTTCCCCTGGTCGTTGTTGGAGCTCCCGGAGTTCTTCCAGAGGACCCAGGTCCAACCAACGCCCAGAGCCACGCACAATCCACAATTGTCATTACTGTGTTCGTGTGTGGCAGAGAAACATGTAGGCAAAACACTCATAGATACAGTTTTTGTTTCATGTGTTTTTGTAGCTCAGACTACATGTGTGACCCTCCTGTCTTAGCCTCCCAGATACCATAGTTATAAACATGGCCACTGAACAAGTATAAGAAATGGGTTTTAGTGTGTGTGCACATGTAACTGCAGAGGAAGTTCCCAGGGTTCTAGGGATCCACTGACTTACCCATCTCCCTGACTCTTACTGATGAGTGCCTTCACTAAAATTGAACTTTCTTAGAAACTGTAACTTCTTTATCCGCTATGAATGGGGGTGGTTGAACCTTCCTGACTCAACATCTTCTCAAAGGAAACAGATTTACACAGACATGTATGTAACCATCTAGCAGAAGTCAAAGGATGGAGAACCAATGGCCATCAACAAAGGAATGCTGCAACAAAATTATTAGGCTCTCCCAAACTCATACAGATGCCTGAGGTTCTGACGCAAGCACCCATCACCACCAAGCACAGAGAATTTTAAATTTACCTATTTGTATTTAGTTGTGGTTGAATATTGGATCCAAGATTTGGCATACACAAGACATGGTATGTTATTGAGTCTCCACCCCACGCATGTTTATTGTGTTGTAAAAATGTAATTACCAGAAGCTGATTTTTCAGTGAACCCATTTGTGCAAAAAGCCCAAGTTCAAATTAAATCCATCTTTATATATGAATGTACAAGTTATTCCTAGAATAATCCTGTCAATGGCTTTGTAAGATAGGTCCCTCTCCACCCTAGATACCATCCTCACTTCTAAGAGAAGGGGAGAGAGGAAAGTGTGTGGACCAGGCTTTGACCCTGAAGGCTCAGTTCCAAGTTTTAATGTTTTCTATCTTTCATTTTAGCCTAAAGTTGGAATTTGTGGGGGTGGAATGGTGTATATTGGAGGGTGTTTTATTCAAACCCAAGGCCTTTTGCATGCCAAGCAAGCATTCTACGGTTGTGATATGCCTCCAAATATTTTAATAGCTTTTCTGATTGGCTGGTCCGGAGCTCTGTAGACCAGGAGTTCTTGGATTAAATGTGTACGCCACATTTAACTATGTTGGTTCTCGGGAATCTAACTCAGGTCACTGAGGTTGAACCTTCATACTGGCCCTACCTCCAGGAGCACACACAAGCGCGCACACACACGTGTGCACACGGTTAGAAGTTATGTAATGTCTATTTAAAATACACATGCCATATATACCCATCATTAGTGTGTATTATCAGTGGTGTTGGCGTACATTTTTCGTGACACTTGTTTGTTGGCCGATGATTTTTTTTTAACCATGGGAGTTTCATGCCTCACACTGTCAGGTCAGTGCTTGCTGGCCTGGGATGCCTGCAAGCACTATGAAGTACAGACTAGTTTAGCTGGTCCTGTGAATCCCACCACATGAACACAGCTAAATGGTAGCATTCATTGGAAAGACTATTAATGTTATTTGTTTGAGACATAGTCTCATTCCAGGTTGGCTACAAATTAGATGTTTAGCCAGGTATCCTCACAAAGTTAGGCTCTTGCCCCCACCCCAGGAATGCTGGGGTTGCAGGCACCCTTCACTTTGTGCTGGGTGTATGTGGTGTTTAAGGCTGCAAGCCAGGCAAGCATTCCATCAGTTGGAGCTATATCCTAGCCAAAAAGTCTACTGTTTACATAGCAGGTCGTGTTCTCCGTAGGTAATTTAATTGCTCTATTAACATGGTAGAAATAGGATTTTGTTTGGGATTGCATGAAACCCAGACAAGTGTTCCTCTGCCATGGCAGCTCCATTTCTTGGATCTTCAGCAGTCAGCCAACCAAGGCATTTGAGGGCAGCCCCAGTGACGATGGAGGGCTCTGTCTCAGCAATAGGCAAGAACTCTGTTTCCAGGGCAAAGAGTTGATTATGTTTCCAGGGTACAAAGAGATACCTCAGTTAAGAGTATTTCATGCTCTTACAGGGGTCCCAGGTTCAGTTCCCAGCATGCACATGGTCTCCCTTGACTACATGTAACTGACACTTTTTTGACGCCCCCAGGCACCAAGCTCCTCACATGCCTCATATACATAAATCACAGGTATACACTATACAAATTTTTATGGTGATTCCTAGGCTATATGAAGCTCATATCAAAAATGGTGGGAAAACTGTTAACAGTTTCTGTCCTGCCCGGTTCCAAAGAAACAGGCCTACATCAATTATAAATTGGTTGGCCTATTAGCTCAGCCTTCTTCTTTTTTTTTTTTTTTAAACATTTATTTATTTATTATGTATACACTATTCTGTCTGTGTGTATGCCTGCAGGCCAGAAGAGGGCACCAGACACCATTAAAGATGGTTGTGAGCCACCATGTGGTTGCTGGGAATTGAATTTAAGACCTTTGGAAGAGCAGGCAATGCTCTTAACCTCTGAGCCATCTCTCCAGCCTCTAGCTCAGCCTTCTTATTAAGTAACTCTTACATCCCAAATTCACCCACAATTCTTGTCTGTGTTAGCCACATGGCATTCTCATGTCTGGCTGGTGACTTTCCTCTTCCCAGAGTTCTCCTATTCTGGTTGCCCCACCTATACTTCTTGCATGTCTACTGGCCAATCAGTATCTTATTAAACCTATACAAGGGACAAATCTTTACAGGGTACGAGATCATTTTCCCACAGTAGAAACCCACTCTGAACTGCGAATGTATGGTGTAGAATGACTCCGTTCTGCTTTCCAGATACTTAGAAGATCCGGTTCTGAAGAGAAGATTCTTTGTTTGGCCCGGGTGCGACCCGGTCACTTCTGCGCGATGACTGTGATGGTCGTGGTTATCATGATCTGGGAAGCCATCCCTCGCCCGATGGCCGACTATCTGTATGAGGAGCTCACAATAAACTTGAGGTCCTACAGCGGGCATCCCACTGACCGCAGATGTACCCTCAACGAAAAGTAATGAGGCTTTGACACTCCTATCTCTATTAAGTAGCAACTGTCGTGAGAGTAGTGGGGGCTTTTAAACAGCCTTTCCAGGTGTGGCTGCACACACTTTATATACCTCGAGGCTTCTGGACCTCCATAGTGTGAAGAGCAGCTAAGACTGCACAGTGAGACCTTCTGTAAAAAAATTTTGCTTTAGAATTTATGAGGCTGGGGGACTTGTTTTTGAGCCTCAGCCTTATTTATTCATCTCGATGTGCACATACCTACCATCCAAAAAACTGAGAATATTAATTTCCTTATTGTATCTTACCCAACCCACTGTATAGTGAGGAAATGGCCTTCAACGGAACATTCTTCATCAGAACCCGAGGCCTCTTCCCAATAAATTTAACGTAGAAATCCCATCAGTGGAGTTCCGCTCTGCCTTCCAGTATCTGTGGTCTCTCCCCCTAGCTGATCTGTGTGGAACTTTGGCTTTATCATGAGATCTGTGCATGGCTGGCCTTGGGCTATGATTCTGAGTAAATTTTCTAAAAGATTACTTTTCCTTTTTCAAGACAGATCCTTAATAGATAGTATAGATGCTGTGCTCACAATTCTCATTAGCATGCACACTCCAGAAGAGGGCATTAGATCCCACTATAGATGGTTGTGAGCCACCATGTGGTTGTCGGGAATTGAACTCAGAATCTCTAGAAGACAATTCAGTGCTCTTAACCACAGAGCCTTCTCACCAGCCAATAGTCACCAGAATATAACCATTTCTTAAGTATTATGTGCTGTCCTTGTTTGTTTCCCAGTGGTAGATTTAAACTGAACATATAAGCCGGACAGTGGTGGTGCACCCCTTTAATCCCAGCACTCGGGGAAGCAGAGGCTAGCCTGGTCTACAAGAGCTAGTTCCAAGACAGCGAGGGCTACACAGAGAAACCCTGTGTCAAAAAAAAAAAAAAATAACTGAATATAAAATTGTCTACCAAGTTTATATTCCTTATGTTGCTAATTTGAGCCTTTGGGCCTTACATTCATCCATCCTGTCGTTCCTCTTTCCAAGTTCTGGAACCTTGTTTCCAGGTCATGTCTGAAGAGCGCTTAGAGGGATGGTTCATTGTGTAGCTAACATCACAGTTGTCTTATATAGTCATTGTTTTGCCTTTCACATCTATACATTTTTTTTTTTTTCTGTAACCGTCCTTGCTGTTCTGGAACTAGCTTTTTTAGACCAGGCTGGCTTTGAACACAGATCCACCACTGCCTGCCCACACCTAAATTTGATAGCATCTTAGATTCAGAGCTGAGGAGCACTTCTTCCCCACTATTACAGAAGATAAGGAAGTAAATCAATAAAATTCAGATGTATAGAGGTTCCCCGCTCTCTGCTCTCCTAACTTTAGTCTTCTGTTACCTTTTTATTTTTTGGGGGGGGAGGGGCCGAGGTTTTTGAGACTGAGTTTCTCTGTGAAACAGGCCTGGCTGTCTTGCAACACACCAGGATGGCCTTGCCTTCGGGTTAAAGGCGTGTGCCACCACTGCTCAGCTAACTTTCTATCTTTATGGCAGGGGCTAGGTTTGTTTATTTAGAATTATCTCGGCTTGTTGTTTTAGAAACTAGTAATTTGGTGCTTCAGAGATGCATTGTATTTATCAGTTCCTCATCAAACACCCTTTCTATACATTATTCATGTTATAACTATCATAAAGTCTTTCATTAAATTTGCCAGGGATTGTAGAGTTTTATTGTATTCTCAATTCAAGTTCCACGGAAAGGAAATGATGTTAGGGAAGAATGAACTCTGCCTCATATCTGAGTCAACAAGGATAGCTTACTGTCTACTTGGATTTAGAACCTTAGACATTAATTTTAGTTAAATAAGAACCAAAAATGGAGTCAGAGTGAAGAGGATCGATTGTGAATTTTAGGCTGGATGTGTGCAGCTAGCAATGGGAAATATTTTAACACATCTGTATTACTGTGAGCTCGGCTAATATCCTGTTTGACTTCTCCCAGTCGCACCTGCACCTGCCAAGGCCTCAATCCAAAGACGTGTGGCGCCTCTTTCTCCTTTGGCTGTTCGTGGAGCATGTTTTTGAACGGCTGTAAGTTTGGGAGAAGCCCAAACCCCAGGAAGTTCAGACTTGCTCCAAACTATCCATTAAACGTGAGTCTCCTTTTTAATTTTCGGACACCATTATACAGTATATAACCATGAATAGTCCCTAAGATTTTTTTGACAAAAAAAAAAAAAAATAATATATATATATATATATATATATATATATATATATATGTTCATTTTCTAAATGTGTCAGGTAAATTTATCTATTTAAATTGTCCGTGGGTCTGTCTTCCTGCTATCCAACACCAGAGGGACCCTAGCCAGAGTTGAGCAAACCATTTGCTAGCCTTTTAAAGACTAAAGAAAGCTTCCTGTTCACAGAGCTACTATAGGAGAATTACTGGATCACGACGTTTTATCAGAAGAAGACGCATGAGACCCGTAAAACCCAGACAGGTGTTTCCAGAACACAGGGCTCAGGTGAGTAGAGAATGTATTAATCTTCTTAAATTTAACATGAACTTGGATCCATTACCATCACTAAATCGGTACATTATTATGAACAAAGTTCTTCACCTAATTAAATGTTGGACTCTCTCTGATACATCACAGTATTTATTAAACTGAGTGTGGTGGGGTGGGGTAAGGCAGGAGGACTGCTACCAGCTAAGGCTTCATGCTGAGATCAAATGTTAAATGTCAAACACTAGATTTCTGCTATTACACTCCTTGGATACACTCCCTGGATACAACAGTTTGAGCTGCTTCCAAGAAAGCACGTTTGGCTTGTTTTTTGTTTTATTTTTTATTATTTATTTATTTATTGGAGCAAGGTTTTAGAAACAGGGTTTCTCTATAACAGCCCTGGCTGTACTGGAACTCAATTTTGTAGAACAGGCTGTAGTGCGTTATAGCCAGGTGTAGTGGCGATGTCACAGTCTTAGTCGTTTCATTATAAGCAAGACTTTATTATAAGCCAGGAACTGTCAGGCCAGTATAGCTGAGTCCCCAGGGGCAGAAGAGAGTGGTGTGTGCATCAACTATATAAGCTAAAGCCAAGGACTGGGGAAAGGTTTGAAAGAATAAAATCAGCACACTTCGCCGGGTGCTGGTGGCGCACACTGCCTTCCAACACTTGGGAGGCAGAGGCTGGCGTATCTCTGAGTTTGAGGCCAACTTGATCTAAGAGAGTTAGTTCCAGGACAGGCTTCAAAGTTCAAAGCCACAGAGAAACCCTGTCTCGAAAAACCAGATGCTCCTTATTGATCATAGTTAGTGAAGAGTCTGCAAATGGACTCGCTAAGAACAGCGTTCCAGGGACCAAATGCTGTGCCGAGGCTGGTTGTAGATATTCGTTTGAAATAATGAAATCAGACAGTCCAAGCTGGGAATGTCTGACATCTGCCGAGTGAGTGACGTTATCTTGGAGTGCTGCTGCAGGTCCAGTGCTCCCAAACATCAGGAAGGCAAAGCCATGAGTAGGCGGGAACAATGACTCATGGTTAAGGGCAGGTTTTGGCTTCCTTTCTTAACTTTACCCAAAACTATCATACGGATGATGAATTCTTCATTCTGTCCACAATATAAAAGGTACTACTATAAAATGGGGCTTCCTCGGTGTGGACTATTTCTCAATAGTCCCTAATCTGTAGCATTTATAGTGTAAAGAGAACTCTCAGTGTAACTCCCCTCCCCCGCTGTGTATATATGAAACCCATAGCCTTGGCAAGAGCAGTACGGGTTACCAATCTTCCCAAACTCTCTGGACTGCCAAGTGTTGAGCTTGCAGCCATGCTTACTTGAAGACATTTCTGTGTTTGTGTTTATTTCAAGTGTCCAGTTCTGTTTTTATTATCTGCATCAAGGGAAGATTTGGAACATATCATTCATTATGTAGATTTCCATGTTATAACGTCTAGTATTCTACTCACTGTATTATGGGAGGCCCCAACATGAAATGACTGAAGTTTTTTACACCTTTTCTTGTAGGAAAAGAAACTTGAAGAGCTTTTTCAGAAATTGGCTGACGATTTAGCTCCCATTTATAAGCAGATGGCTCCGGTGGCTTATCAAAATCAAGTGAGTTTTTTGTAGGCTTCATGTAAAATTTCTAAGTAAATAGTAATTAATTGGATTATTGGCGGGGCGGGGCGGCTACTTGCTTAGAAGTAATGGTCTGCCATCCTTATTAGGCTCTCTGTATGTATATGCCAAACATAAACAGAATTAAGTTGGTAGCTATCCTGATCTACAAGGTACTTTATTTCAAAATGGTAGGGATAAAAAAGATGGCTTACTGTTTAAATTACCCGCTGCTCTGGGAGGGGTGCGCCACTCCAGAAGCCAGCCTGGTCTACATAGAGTGCCATTCACAGATCCAGAGAGACCCTGTCTCAATCCTCACCACCTCACATAAGCCCTCCCAAGATCCTACAGAGCACATACATACTGGGTGTGGTGAACTCTGAGTTCAAGGCTAGCCTGGTCTCAAGAGTTCCAGGATACCCAGGGTTGTAAGAGAAACCCTGTCAGAAACAAAACAACAACAAAACAAACAGAATATAGAGACAGACGCAGCTACCTTATAGACACTACATTCATTCATTCATTGTTTCAGGGTAGGGGTCCATGCCTGTTGCCAGTTTGTAACTCAAATCAACAGTCAAAGCACTTTTATCCACTGAGGGTCTTACCTGCCTTCCCTTTATACCCTGTCTTGTTCTTGCACACTTACACACACACCTACACACAAGGTCATACGTAGGAGTTGCCAGAAGAAAAAACATCTGGGATAGATCCAGTGGTTTAGAATAGAATACTGGCTGGTCTTTTGAAGACACAAGGCCAACCCCAGGCGCACAGATGTGATAGTCATGTGTAGACAAAACCACCCATGAGTCTTTTTTTTTTTTTTTTTTTTTAAAGGTGAAATATGAAGATGTTGCCGGAGACTGTCGACTTGGCACTAAGAAAGGCCGTCCTTTCTCTGGTGTCACCTGTTGCTTGGATTTCTGTGCCCATTCTCACAGGGACATTCACAACATGATTAATGGAAGCACTGTGGTATGTACTTAAGTGCCTTTTAGTCTTTGTCCCCTTTGCTTTCCGCATCTAGACATGGTTTCTCTGTAGCCCTGGATTTCCTGGGTCTCAGTCTGTAGAGCATACTGCCTCCCAAGTGCCTATATTTGTTGCTGGATATGGCTGCTCATGCTTTTAACCCCAGCAAACAAACATGAGGTTAAGGCGCCTGGAACTCTGTGTTCTGTACTAGTGTGTGTCTTATAGTGAGTTCCTGGACAGTTGAGGCTAGACCCTTTCTAGGAGCCAAAAGGGTCGAGGACACCAGGAGCACATTGTCCATAGCAGGGCTGACAGTGGCTCCCATTTCGGGCCCTCTCCATGTATACCTTATAATCTGTAGCTTGGTGTTCCCGTGGTTTCCCTACCCTGGGATTGACTTTTGGGACCCTCTTCCCTCCTGGGTTCCTGCATCCAGTCATGGGTTTATCTCCATGTTCAGTGGGAGAGAGGGACTGGGAGTGGACGGACAAGAATAGGGCTGGAGGGGTGGCACTGGCTGCCCTTCCAAAGGTCCTGATTTCAATTCCCAGCAACCACATGGTGGCTCATCTGTAATGAGATCTGGTGCCCTCTGGCATGGAGATGTATATACAGGAGAAACATATACATAATAAACCCTAAAATAAAAAGGAAACATAAATAGATTTGAATTACATTTATTATATTTTTATTTATTCAGTTTAGTATTTTGAGATAGGACTGGCCTGGAACTCTGTAGATCAGGCTGGCCTAGAACTCCACTTTCCTCTGGCTCCTGAGTACTGGGATTACAGGCACGCTCTAGCACGCCTGGCTAAATTATAATTTTTTTGCCTTATGTGTAATAGTTTCGGCTGTGGATGTACGCATACCACCCTCATTCCTGGTGGCCACTGAAGTTCATTAAGGAACTGCAGTTAACAGTTATGAGTAGCTTCAAACTGCCATCTGAGTGTTGGGTCTTTTGTTTTTGATTTACAAATAAATGCTTTAAGAAATAATGATAATCTCTGTGAGTTTGAGACCAGCCTGGTCTACAGAGCTAGTTCTAGAACAGGCTCCAAAGCCACAGAGAAACCCTGTCTCGAAAAACCAAAAAAAGAAAAAGAAAAAGAAATAATGATAGATCTAGCCTGGCAGTGGTGGTGCACGCCTTTTATCCCAGCACACTCGGGAGGCAGAGGCAGGCCGACCTGTGAGTTTGAGGCCAGTCTGGTCTTCAAGAGCTAGTTTCAGGACAGGCTCCAAAGCTACAGAGAAACCCTGTCTTGAAAAACAAAACATAACAAAAAAAAAAAAAGCCCACCTCATACGCACAATGTCAACCCAGTTATCTTTTCCTCCAGTCCTGCGATTGGTAGGGGTTGAGGTTGTGCTGGGTATATCTGTGTTATATTTTCACATCATACAGCTCAAGGGCTTGTCTTAAGGCTTCTATTCCTGGGAAGAGACACCGTGACTATGGTGACTATGGTGACTCGCGTTAATCGGCGTGGCCCCCCACCATAATGGTGGGGGGGGGGGGAGCATGGCAACACGCAGACAGGCATGTGCAGGCCTGACACTAAGCTCACCACCAGGGATATGCCTTCGCCAACAGAGGCTATACCATCTCCAATAAAGCCACACCTCCCAATAGTGCCACTCCTTAATGCGATCACATGAAAATACTCCAGGGCTCTCGAAATGCCTCAGCAGTACCTATTGGCAAGGTTCAGTTCCCAGCAAGCTCCAGGGTTAGACTGAACATGACCTGATGGATGGAGCCAAATCCGTCAAATAAAGCAGGATGCCTTGCTTCATAGTAAGTTGGAAGCTTAACTGGGCTTCAAAAGGAATGATTCTAAAGAGAAGGAAAGTAAGAAGATATCTATTTGTTTTACTTTGTGATCATTTATTTACGATTAATAAAAAGACATTAGAATTGCGTATTTTACTGGCCTGATGTTTAGTTGGGATTACTATGCCAACTGCTACCAACGGAAACAAAACCGCACTGCAGATGGCTTTGTTCTTTGTTATCTGGTCACTGAGTTATAGAAATATAGACTTATTTATAACAGTGTTCTGCCTCCTTTGTTACTTGCTTTCTGGTCACTGAGTTATAGAAATATAGACTTATTTATAACAGTGTTCTGCCATGTATTCCTACATGGCATAAGACGGTACCAGATCTCATTATAGATGTTTATGTGGTTGCTGAGAATTGAACTCAGGACCTCTGGGTGAGCTGCAACGGCTCTTAACCTCTGCGCCATTTCTCCAGTGCTATTTTCATGGCAGAGAGCCACCTACATCCAGATCGAAGACTTTTATTACAGATCCTCACCTTAATCCGTTCACATGGCTCCATCCTTGTTGATTAAGCATTCAAATATGAGCCTAAGGGACCTTTCTTATTCAAACCACCACACATCTGTGAAGCCAGACATAGAATGAGTGATCACAGGCTTCCTCCCTCCTCCCTGTGCCTCAGGTTTGTACTTTGCTTCGTAAAGATGTCCGCGACAAGAATAATCCCGAGGACGAACAGCTCCACGTCCTCCCGTTACACCGACTTGCCGACACCGATGAATTTGGCTCCCGAGAGGGAATGGAAGAAAAGATCCGCTCTGGGGCCGTTGAGATCGTTCAGCCATCCAGGAAGAAGCAACTACGTTTCAATGAGCCTATTCCTCGGTGTGGGAAGAGGAGGACCACTATGGCAGAGCAGAACAAGAAACCAGCTCCCTCTGCACTGAAAAGGAAGAGGAGCTCCTCCAGTAAGTGTCACACACACACACACACACACACACACACACACACACACACACACACACTGCTGCCCCCAGGAGCCAGACTAGTGTTTCCCCCCAGAAAGGCTTGATCTCAGAGAGGGTTTTCCCTCTTACTTCTTAATTTCCCGATTACTCTCACTTGATGCTAGTGTTCTTCCTCCTCTTGCTCCTTCTTTTTGATCCCAGATTTCTTCCATTTATCCCCCGTGCCTGCAAGCTCCACCTAGCAACATACATAAGCAAATTATAACACATCTCAAAATCACCACACAACAGAAATTACTCCATTCTGCTCTTCATCCTCACTGAGTCCTCATTCACATTATTTTTTAAATAAATATTATATAAATTACCTATACAATATTCTGCCTGCATGTATCCCTGTGGGCCAAAGAGGGCATCAGATCTCATAACAGATGGTTATGAGCCACCACGTGGTTCCTGGGAATTGAACTCGACCTCTGGAAGAGCAACCGGTGGCTGCTCTTCCTCTGAGCCATCTCGCCAGTGCCCATTCGCATTATTTATACATTTGCCTTTTTATGTTTTTAATCAGCTGTTATATCCAAGGACCACTACCAGTTTTTACTTAATAATAACATTGTAGTGATGCTATCTTGATTTTTGTTTTTCAAAGCAGGGTTTCTTCATGTAGCTCTGGTTGTCCTGTATACCAGGCAGGCTTTAAATCTGCAAGAGATCTGCCTGCCTCTGGGATTAATGGCAGTCAACAACACCCGCTACCTGGTTGTTTTTGTTTATTTTTTAGTTTTTCGAGACAGTGTTTTTCAGACCAGGCAGGTGTCCTGGGAAGTTAGTGCTTGTGTGTGCCACTACTGACCGACTCTTGAGGCTCATAGTGCATAATATCTCTGCTCCGGAGTGCTTGGCATAAAGGTGTGCGCCACCACCTCCCGGCTGCATGCTGATTTCATGCTTCATGGATTTCTGGCAGGCCTTGCCCCTTTCTCCCATTCTCTCTGCCTTGTTAATCAGCCCCCTTTGGCTCACGGAATTAACATGTTCATGCTAACATGGTGGTTCCCCTTTACCCTCAAAGCCTGTCTTGCCTATGTGCTATGTCTCCTATCCAGAGGACATCCTCTGAGACAAATACCCTTTTCCCCTCTGCCTTGTCCTCTTTCCCATATCTCCTTTATCCCACCTCCTAGCCTGTTCTAACAGACTTCCCCTTTCTGCAATGTCCTGAGTCACAAAGCAGGTCCCAGAGGAAGCCCCAACTGTTCAGGAAGTCCTTCGGTGTTGTCTGCCTAATTCAGTATTTTTTTTTAACCAGATCTTGGTCCATTTCCAAGACTGGAAATCCTTCTCATCGATATCATTGATTTGATAATTCTGGAATTGGGTCTGGGCGTGTTGCTACAAATACGTGTACAAGATTTGTTTCCTCTTTCCACCTTTTTCCCTATCTATAGCTATGCCCGTCCTAGAACTAGCTCTTGTGGACCTGCCTCTGCCTCCCTATTGCTGGGATTAAAGGCGGCGCCACCAGCGCGTGGCTTTCCACTTTATTTTTAAAGGATCTCAATGTTTTGAGCTGAGTCTGAAATCTTAGCTCGTATAGCAGCAGGATATTCAGAGTTTTTAATTTTCAAATGAATATGAAAGACAGGCAAAATGACACACTAGTTCATAGACTATTGTATGCACTCCATACATATTCTGAAGATATAGATTAGACCATATTCTAAAGATGCGATGTAAAAAATACTTTTTTACCTGCACGACATGCATCCTGAGATCAGAAGAGAGTGCTTGCCGACTCGGGAGTTAATAGCAGGAGGCAGAAAAACCACTAAGAGAAAAACGCAAGCAACCAGCAAGTGACAGATAACTTAGAGGTTTAGCAGTACAAAGAGAGTCAAATTGAAACCAAACCCCATTTTATTTTCAAAGGTTCAGACAACACTAAAAGCTTCTCTTCAGCCTCATTTACTCATCACCCGGTGAATGAAGAAGCAGGTACCTGTACGTACAATAACACAGCCTCAGGCGGGTTTCCAGAAACAAGTAGCGGTGTCCCCTGTACAATGCCCTCTGGTGCTAATGTAGCTGCTGGTGCTGGAACCGAACAGCCTGGTGAAGCAGCTGCTCTTCCTCAGCCTTCTCTCCCCATAGCAGACACCCCTCTCTCCAGCCCATCTGAGCAGCTACCATTCCTCAACTGTGCTCACGAACTGGATTCCTGTCAGGTGGAAGAGGGGCAGCACTCTGAAGCAGAGGAGCCTCTCTCAGATGGTGCCCTCTCAGATGACCAGTCCTCCGAGGACGACCAACCTGAGATTCAGGAGTACTGGTCAGACAATGAGCTGATCTTCCTTAACCCTAGCTTTGGCGGAGTGGCCATAGCACCCATTCATGGTTCAGTGATGATTGAATGTGCCCGGAGAGAGCTTCATGCCACCACCCCTGTGGAAAATGCCAACCGAAATGACCCCCTACGGATGTCCCTGGTATTCTACCAGCACAAAGGCCTGATTCTCCCCAGTCATGGTTTTTATTTCAACAGGCTTAAGTTTGAGTCTAAAATTTTTAAGAAAAAGGCTGCAGAACGGAAGGGTCCTGATAAATCATCGTTTGTAGGCAATTTACTGTGCAATATTCCTTCTCGTATTGCACCCACCTTAACCCGTGACAATGTTGTCACTGTGTCCCCTTACGCGCTCACTCATGTTGCAGGACCCTACAACCATTGGATCTGAAGGCTTTTTTCCCCATAATGCCTTTGCTAGTGCGGTGTAGTTCCTACGGTGCTGTTCAAAAGGAAGTCACGTTGTTGTTTACTTACTGTAACTTCATTTCACCCATTTCAACTCCGAGGTCAGATTTATGAAGTGGGTGGGTACTTAACTGTGACTATTTTGATTGAGAATTGGTGGAAGCTATACATTCTCAGCAAAGATACTGGTTTTATATCTTGGTTAGGCGTTGACCATGACAGAATCATAGTTTGGTGCTCAAATTAAGTTTCTTTACTACAAAGAGGATTTTAAGAGGTTCCTACGAGAAGATGTAAAAACCAAGACACACAGTGTTCGCTCTATAGTTCCTGGTGCTTAACCACACAACATGTAGTAATGAGCCGAATGATTGTTTCATGGTGCCATCCTCCCAGCATCTTCCGATCATTGCTATATGTCTGCACATTTGAAATAAACCAATGAAATGCTTTCTCTTACAATATCTCTCCTGTATAAAATAGTTCTTTATTCTAGTGATGATTGGAGGCTATTCGTTAACTGTAAATATATATATTTTTAAAAGCACTTTCTATTTTTAAATAAAGTAACTTGAAATAGCATAGTAGCAGAATCCTATTGTCTATTATGTATGCATATTTGCATAGCAGAAAAGTCATTTACTGTGTAGAGTTTCATCCTGTTAACTGCAGCCTGTATTTAAATCTGTTCTCCTCAAAATCCAAAAAAAATTGAAAACACAAATTGCCACCAATATCATTTTCCCCCTTTTAACTAGAAAAGTATCGTCTTTAGTGTCCTCATGATTGATGTTTTCATCATGACACATGTTTTCAATGGTAGAAGGGGACAAATTGGGATCAATCAAATCCTCCCAGTGTTTCCACATGAGAATAGTTAAGTAACTTTTCCCTCCCAAATGAGAAAATATTTGAGGGGGAAAATGCTATTACCACTATTGCTTCTGGCCCAGAGTCACAAAAAAAAAAAAATTATGCTGTAAGCCGATTAAGAGCCTATTCATTAATCTTAACCTTTGGGGTTTAGGTTATTGACAATTTAATTGGCAATTCAAACTTCTTGGGTAATCCCCATTTTGAAGGTCACAGGTAAAGCTGGCTTTCTGATTACTTTCGTGTTCCAAGGTTCCTCCCATATATATATACACCAAGAAAGACGCCCTAAACAAAACCTAGAACCAAAAGAAATTCAAATGCACAGGTGCTATGACATTCAAAGAATTGGATTTTCCAGAAGTCCAGGAACCCTAATGGTGCTTCTCAGATGCCATACGAAGTCCACGACTATCATCATAATCTTGGTGCGAATGCAAACAGTTCCAGCAAAGCTCTCTAGAGAATAACTTATTAAAATAATATATGGTGTGAATTTTCTGACTAAGGGAATTGAAGAGGTCAGTATTGTAAATAAAGTGTCCATCAGCATTCCATCTGCAAATAGATGTGTGAATACATACAGTAGGGTATATATAGTGTATACAGTAGGGTAATTTGTTGACCTGATTGTTTTGTGTGCCTTAGATTTCCGTTTAAGAACAAGTCTATTTTCAAAGCCTAGGGTTTCTTACACGTGTTAGTATGTAACTGATTCTTTGTTGCTTCAGGTGTGTCTGTATTTGTTAGTGTGTGCTATCAAGAAAGCTCCCTTTGAAGTTACCTTTGAGGTTTTAGGCCTTAGCTCCCACTAGAAATTGTTTCCTTGCCACGCCGTGCATTTATTCATCCATTCATCCTCAAATGCACATTTAATTTAATCTTTACATTTAATTGATCCATTTGATTTTGCTTTTCCTTAAATCACCACCTAGGACACAATCTAAAAGGCAGTGGTGGTGCACACCTTTAATCCCAGCAGAGGCTGGTGGCTCTCAGTGAGTTCTGGACAGCCAGAATGAAAAATCTAAACAAAACAGTAATGATTTCCAACTTGAACCTGCTCTGTAAACCACACTGTCCTGGGACTGTTGAGTGCTGGCGATTAAAGGTGTACGCCACCATGCCTGGCTCAACAATGGTCTTATGAAAAAGCAAAGGAAATTTCTTTGAGATGACCTAACACTCTTCCTGAGAAGATTGGTCTCATTGTTACATGACCTCCATGGTAACTCAGCTGATGCTCTGAGGACTTTCCCGGTGAACCAGGCTAGCCTACAATTCACAGAAGTCTGCCTGTCTGCCGAGATTAAAGCTGTACTCCACCCCTCCACAAGCTGTTTTTCCTTCTTGTGCTTGGCAGCCTCATATCTACCATATATATGTACCTGGTACCAAATGAACCATGTCATTAGCTTCATGGCAATATATTGTTGGGACATGAGGCTACAGAGGTCAACTTTTGCAGCATGTTAGCAGAGCTGCAGGCCAGTCACCAATCACTTAGCTGAATGGTATCCTCGCGTAGCTGACTTGACTAACAGGAAGTAACTACTTTCTAGTACTTTTACTCCTGATCAACATTCCACAGTAGTACGTACAAACCTAACATGTTGAGAGACTTCTATGTGACATCAATCGTGGGCACATTTAGCTGGAATGTGCCAACTGAGGAGGTGGATGCAGTCTTTAACAAAGTTGCCTTTAGTTACACCACTCAGTGTATAGTGATGTCGTGATCTCACTGCAGTAGAAGTCACAAAGCTCAGGCCCTGCGCCCACAGAACAGGTGGTACCTATCAGCGTGGAATTGCGTGAAGGCCACTCTGTTCTTAGAACTATACAAGTTTTCTCACCCCGGGAGTACAGTCTCACGGAGAACTATCCTTATTTTTGCACAAGTCAAAAATAAAACAGCTTTCTGTCCTCCAGGGAGGTTCAGAAAAAGAAATGATAAAATTAGGTCAAGATTCCCTTGACTGTCAGTGAAAACTAGCCTATTAACTCTTACCTATAAACAAGGCAGTCCTTGTCTTTGTCATTCTCTCTGGAACCTAGTGTTCAGCGTACTTGAGGACTGAGTGGAAATACGCGGAGGAAAGCGTATTTTCAGTGTATATACTCCCTGGTTGCTCAATTCCTTCCTGCCCCTTCCTAGTTAAATGCCAGCAGTTACTTGTGATGTGGCCATCTTTATAAGTGGGGATGCTGGTTTATTGTGCATAGCACTCCCAAGCTTGCTGTGCTTTTGTTTTTCTCCAATGTGGCATATTTAGCCCTGTGGTATAGTTATTGCTTGGTTGTTTAAGACCTCTAGATTTTTCCAAGTGAAGCAGGTGTTCTCATAGCATGAGAAAATATACAATGCCAATCCTGTTATCAGGAAGGCCATTCAGACAGTGAGTCCTCCCACACAACCTGATTCCATGTGAAAATTCCTGAGCATGCTTTTCTTTTACCTGTTTACTAGAAACGGGCGTCTGTACTGAGTTGTGGAGCTGGACATTTAGAGTCTTGTGGGTCTTGTGTAGTCAGTCCTGAACTATGGTTGAGAATGTTGAATTTCTTCCTTTGAAACTGGGTTGCACTATGCAGCCCTGGCTTGCCTGGAGCTTGGGGAGATATAGACCAAGCTGGCCTTGTATGACAGGTTCTGGCGTGGGCTCAGAAAGCATTCTTATCCACCTTCCCACCCTAGACTTTGTTTGTTTCTTGTAGTGCTTTTTCTGAAATTTCTACTATAGATATCTTTCTTACTTGTTAGGGTATAGACACAGGGCACCCTGCCCAGATAACCTTTTATTGGCCCCAGTTCTTTTCCCAGATAACCAATAGGCTCAGAATATGTTCTTCACAATATCAGTTTAACCCTTAGGCCCCATTGTGTTCAAAATTATATTGTGGCTGTATGAAAAGCCCCTACAGGATTAATTTTCCTTATTCCTTCTGCACCTTCTGATTTCCTTGTGATTAGAAATCTGCTCTTGTGTATCCTGGCTCCACCTCCCCAGATCATCCCTTATGCAAATGCATCTGGTTCGTTTAAGATGCCATTGTTTGGATTCCTCACTCCTGCCTTCCTTTTTGAGACAGCACCTCCTATAGCCCAGGCTGCCACAAAATCCAATCCCCAATTTGGCTCAATCTGTAATCCCAACTGCTTGAGGGGGCTGAGGCAGACAGAGCTCAGTGACACAGCACTTCCTGACCATGCTGGAATGGGCACCATTCCCCAAGACTGCAGGAAGAATCAAGAGTGCAGCACTTTGCAGTTAGGAGTAAACAAATTAAACCATACTCATTCTCTTGTGTGGCTTTTTCAACCCCATCTGCTATGTTACAAATCAGCCAGGCCATTTTAGTCAATCTTTCTCGTTTCCTAAGCTAGATTTACTCCTGAAATTCTTCAACTGCAATAGGGTAATGCTCACCCCGGTATATACAAACCCCAAGCTCAGACCTTACAGCCCCAAGGCACTACACATGATCTAGGCTCCAGAATAAGCTCTGGTGCTTTTTAAGCATGCCTAGCTCGAAACCAAGAAGTACCTGTAGCATTTCTTATCTGTTGTGAGTAGACAACAAAATCTAGGTGATTGATATTTTGAAAGCAAATCGGAAATTAACAAAATAAGCATTTCTCCCTTGGTATGGTCCACACACCTGTAACACCAGCTCATGGGGAGACTTTAGTAGGATTTGGTAGATTTTAGTATGATTTAATAGTAGGATTTTAGATTTAAGACCAGCCTCAACTATATGAGATCCTGTCTTAACAACTTTTGATCCCCAATATTGATACCAAACACAGCTCTCTGTGGCAAGAATTGCTAGTACCTTACTCCATGCCACCGAGCAAGTCTAGGAATATAAATAATGTGATTATGGGTGCTTTGCTTCTGTGGGTGCCATATTGCAGTGCCCATAGCAGTGTGGTCCCCTGGAACTGGAGTTCAGCTGTTGTGAGCTGCCATCAAGGTGCTGTAAATCTAACCAAGATCCTCTGGAAAAGTAACAAGTGCTCTTAACCAGTGAGCCACCCACAAATTCAGAGTGCTACATGTAAATATACAGGAAAAACTGAATTAGGGTTTTACTGAATAAAGCTAATAGAAAAATATATAAATTATTTATAAAACATGTTTCTTAGCAGTTTTGTTTCTGTTTATTTACCTAGCTATATTCAAGTTCTCATTTATGCATTAATTTTTTTTTGTTTGTGGTTTGTGGTTTTTACTTTATTGTGTATAGAGCAGGTTCGCGATATAGCTCTAACTGACCTGGAAAATTCAATATAGTCCAGGGGCAAGTTCTATGATTCCCTAGGTGCAGGGATTGCATGTGTGAACCACCCTATTCAGTGATCAGAAGCATAGAGAATAACCCTTTACTATTCATAGGAAGACAAAATAAATTTTTCACCAAGTAATTTTTTAAATAGGACTTTTAAAGCACCTCACAATCAAAGTTTAATATATTTGTTTAAATATATTGAGATGAAGGTTTCTTGAAGGCAATGGTGTTAACAACTTTAGTTCCTAGCCCTTTATTATAAATACGCAAAATTGTCTCTAACAGGTTGTATTGTCTCTAGATTGTATGGTTTGTCTTGTTTGGTTGGGTTTGTGTGTGTGTGTGTTCCTTCTGCTTCGCTTGTAGCCATATAAATCTTTGGAGCAAATATACATTTACCTAGAGAGTTGGGAATGGTGAGATGTATTTGTAAAGTTTCTAGTAATCTCCTTAATAGGTTATCTTACCGACCTCTCTATATGGAAGCAGTATATTTTGACTGGTGATTACATTTTTTGGCACAGAGGGAGAGGGGGAGGGCAAAGTAACCTTGAATATTCAAGTAAGACCCCCTTTTAAGCTGGCCATTACCAGCACCTGTTTGTGCTGGAATCAAATGACTGTATTTGACTTTACAAACACAGCTCATAGAAAAGATTAAATATTTTTATTGCAATGTATGGTCATATTTTTTTTAGCCTTTATGGGGTTAATATTGTGATAAGTGCTTTAAGAGAAATATTTTTCCAGAAATGGTTTTCTAGCTAAAATTATGGGCAGTTTTTGCATTGTGATGTGTGGGGTGATGGTTATATTTGGGTTACTAGGAAATCCTGACGTGTTCCCTAAGGAGAAAGCTGTTCGATTCCATGGCAAAGAGAACAACATTAAATTCTAGTTCAATTATTTCTCCACAGTATGAATGAACACGCATGCCATTAGCTTGGTTTACAGGTGTATCATTGGTGGGAAGAAAACACTCATTCATGTTCAGTGCTGGATTTCCCCTAGGTGCATAAGCATTTTCCTAAGTTAAAGCCCTGCCCCCTAACTCTTGGAATACGTTTACTGTTGATTTTCCCCTATCGCCATCCTACGGTTGTATCTCATTAATTTTTTAATAAGTTTTTATTTTAGAAAATGCTGTTAAGATTCCAAAAAGTAATTGATTTAGTTCTTCACATCTGAGGGAAAGCACTTCACATTAAATGGAAAGAGATTCTTATAGCCATGATGGTTTTAATACATGATCGATACTGAGTCCTCTGCACAGAATGGAACACTTCCTAGCAGTACTTGAATACTTGTAAGTTGGAATTGCATGTTACTTGAAAGATCTAATTAAGCTAAATTTTGGTGCACAGCAGTTGTATATGATTTCATGTTTATGTAGCGAAATACATTGAAATGTACTACTAGTATTGAAACATAAATGTAAAAATAGTTGTGGAAATTGTCTTATTTTCCTTATGTCTCGTTTGTTTAAAGCATAAATTTTCTTTTATTGTTCTAACTAAGAATAAGTGAATACTGTAATTGAAAATATATTTTAAATCTTTTTGTCATGTGTTTTTTTTTAAGCTATTGCAAATTGTATCATTCCTGATTATACAGAACTTTGTGGGTGGTATAAAATAAATTTTATACTTCTATTTTGCACCTGGTCGTCTAATTTTTCTTTCATCTTCAAATCTTATTTAAAAATCTACCTACCATTCCCAGTTTTATTACAAAGGACTTATTGTTTAAACAAAAGCAGAAAATCAGCTGGGTGGTGGTGGCACATGCCTTTAATCCCTGCAGAGGCCAGCGGATCTCTGTGAGTTTGAGGCAAGCCTGGTCTACAAGAGCTAGAACCAGGACAGGCTCTAAAGCTATAGAGAAACCCTGTCTTGAACAACCAAGAAAAAAGAAAAACAGGGCAGAAAATCAGTGCTACATGCTGTATCGGAAGACATGCTTAGCATGTCCAAAGTCCCAGATCAATCCATGGAACCAAAGAAAGGGTATGTTTTAATATTTTATGTGCCTAAGTGTTTTGTCTGCATATTTGTTTTTGCATCTAGTGCATGTCTGGTGCCTATAGAAGCTGGAAGAGGGCATTCACTTCCTTGTTGGAATGACAGATGAGCTACCATATGGGTACAAGGAAACCCAGGTACTTGGATGTTGACTGAGATTTCTGTCCTGCCCGGTCCTGCAGCCTTTCAGTCCCACACAGAGAAATCACACAGAGGTCTACATTAATTATAAACTGATTGGCCTAGTAGCTCAGGCTTTTCTTATTAGCTAATTCTTACATCTTATATTAGCCCATTATTCTTGTCTATGTTAGCCACGTGCCTTGGTACCTTATTTGGCAAGACATTCATCTTGTTTCCTCTGCATCTCCCTCACAACTGCTTCCGTTGTCCCAGCATTCTTGTTGCCCTGCCTATACTTCCTGCCTGGCTACTGGCCAATCAGAATTATGTTAAAAATAATGCAAGTGACAGATAAAAGCCCATTGTCCTATAGCCAGTTTCTTAAACACTGAGCCATCTCTCTCCAGTCCTCCAAACAGTTTTCCATCACCCCCTCGCATAATCCTACTGTCTGTAGGCATCTGTCATCTCCCTTGTGACTGCCCTTGGTAATGACAAAAGTGGGTTTTTTGTTTTTGTTTTGTTCTGTCTGCATGTCTGTCTGCATTCCAGAAGAGGGCACCAGATCTCATTACAGATGTTGTGAGCTATCTTGTGGTTGCTGGGAATTGAACTCAGGACCTCTGGAAGAGCAGTCAGTGCTCTTAACCTCGAGCCATCTCTCCAGCCCCAAGAGTAAGGTGTTGTTGGTTGTTTTACTCTATTTGGGAGGCGGGGAGCTGTCACTCAGCTCCCAAATAAATCACACGAGGAGGTTAGCTTGGCTCATTTCTAGCCAACTTCTTAAAATGATCCTATCTTTTGCCTCTGAGCTTTATCTTATTTTCTGTAAACCTTACTTCTTTTTCATGGCTTCCTGTGTGGCTGGGGGTGCTGGCCCCTGGTGTCATCCTCCTTCTCTTGCTTCTTTCTTAGGTTCTCTCTTTTTTTTTTAAAGTTTTTGGTTTTTTATTTATTTATTATGTGTACAACATTCTGCTTCCCACACACCTGAAGAAGGCGCCAGATCTCGTTACAGATGGTTGTGAGCCATCATGTGTTTGCTGGGAATTGAACTCAGGACCTCTGGAAGAGCAGTCAGTGCTCTTAACTTCTGAGCCATCTCTCCAGCCCCAAGGTTCTCCTTTTTATTCTCTTTGCCTGCCAGCCCTGTCTACCTTTGCTCCTGCCTCATTATTGGCCATTCAGATCTTTATTAGACCATCGGGTCTTTTAGACATGCAGAGAAGCACAGCTGCACAGAGTTAACAAATGCAGCATCAACAACAGTTACACACCTTAAAATAATTTTCCACAACACTAAAGTGATTATAATTTGTATAGTTTTTGCCATTTTAAAATAAAGATGAGGCCGGGCGGTGGTGGCGCAAGCCTTTAATCCCAGCACTCAGGAGGCAGAGGCAGGCAGATCTCTGTGAGTTCAACACCAGCCTGGTCTACAGAGCTAGTTCCAGGACAGGCTTCAAAGCCACAGAGAAACCCTGTCTTGAAAAACCAAAAAAATAAAAATAAAAATAAAAAAAATAAAGGTGGAATAGAGTGAACAGTTTATTTCACTTAGCATACTGTTCTCTAGATTAGCCCACACAAAGTCCTTGCTTTGTGTTTGTTTTGGTTAAGACAAGGTCTTGTGTTACAATCTGTGTTGGCCTCAAACTGGGTGTCAGTTACTCCTGCTTGAACATTCTGAGGTCTGAGATTATAGGTGTTTGTATACCTGTGGTATTTTAGATATATGATCAGATGTTGCCCACTCTTTCTCCCAGTCCTCTGGTGGTTGATTCGTACACCTGAGCAGAGATACTTTTGTAGCTTACACTGTGCTAGCACGATTCCTTTTCCACACGTGGATGCACCTAATCCTCCGTTGGAAAATCGGCATAGAAAAGTTAAATCACACTGGCTGGTTGTTGAAGGGGTGGCCACTTGTTTGTTTCTCAGCTGCCTGGCAGCTCAGACCTGAAAGAACCAGACACAAACTGTATTGATTAAAACACTGCTTGGTCAATTACTTCAGCGAATTGCTGAATTGCTAGCTACTTCTTGCATTGAGAATTAACCCATATCCATTATTTTATATTTTACCATGAGGATCATGGTTTCAACATGTCTGTCTCTGGCAGCGGCTCCATGGCTTCTCCCTGACTCTGTCTCCTTTCTCTCCGCATTCAGTTTAGTTTTTCCCCCCGGCTAGCTAAATTCTGATTTCCTAAAGGCCCAAAGCTGTTTCTTTATTCATTAATGGTAATCTCAGCATACAGATGGGAATCCCACATCAGCTGGTGGTAGAGCATTGTTTTAATCCCATCACTCTGGAGGCCAGAGCAGGTGGATCTCTGAGTTTGAGACCACCCTGGTCTAGAGTGGATTCCATAGCAGCCAGGTTTATACAAAGAAACCTTGTTTTGTAGTGTGCAGTGAGGGAGAAAAGGAGCCAGGGTTGATTGTATTCCTACACCACTTCCATATGCATAGGACATGATATCTACCCTTAATTTTAGAATCAATTCCATTCATTGTGCTCAAAACTAGTAACAATATGCAACTTGCTTTCTCCTTTCTGCTGTTTTGTTTGATCTCAAACTTTGAATCTCCAAGAATTTGAGAAATAGCACCAATCACTTTGAGTTTGGTTAAGACTTAAACTGGCAAAGAAAGCAAGAACCTGTGAGAATATTCAAACTTCGGAGGGGAGAGAAAGAAAAAGAAAGGAAAAAAAAAAGCCAACTGTGAGTGACTCCACTCACTTGTTGTCAGCCTGCCAGAGGATGGGACAGGAAGATGACTGGAGCCGGTGACCCCTACTACCAGCCTCAGCAGCACAAGATGACCTTACTAAGAGGCGAGGGAGGGGCAAGAACACTAGGGACGCAGACTAGCTGGTGAAGAGCTTGCCTATATTCGTAGAGACCCTAGGTTCCACCCTTAAGAGTGTGTAAATGGAGCATGGTGACCTCGCCTGCAGTCCTAGCACCTGAAAGATAAAGGTCATTGTCAGCTGTATAGAATGACTCAAAGTTGCCACAGTAGCATGAGACTCTCTAAAAAAAAACAAAACAAAGCAAGAACGACTTAGATGGTTCAGTGGGGGTTGGAGGAGCTTTCTACCAAGCCTGAGCAAGGTCTAAATTCAGTCCTTGGGACACACATGACAATAGGAGCGAACCAGTTCCTGCCAGTTGTCCTCTCACCCCTACACATATTCTGTATGAATACACATGCACACAGACACCTCTCATAATTCATAAATATTTTTTGAAAGATTGTGGATTATTTTAAAAAAAAAAAAATAAAGACTGCCAGAGTATCCACTTTTCAAAAGGCAATTAAAAGTGTCTGGGAATGGTGTGAGCACACACAGTCCAGTCAGTTGAATAAAACTGAAAGCTCACAATTACTCCCATCTGCTGTACACAGTCTACTCTTTCAACTATGTGTCGAACAAGGTACACAACAGAAGAAATCACTATTAGATAGTTGGTGCTGAGGATACTTGGGTTTTATATAGGAAACAATTGCATTGGATTTTTTTTTCTTTTGTTTTTCGAGACAGAGTTTCTCTGTGAAACAGCTTTGGCTGTCCTGGAACTCACTCTGTAGACCAGGCTGGCCTCAAACTCACAGAGATCTGCTTGCCTTTGCCTCCCGAGTGCTGGAATTATAGGTGTGCGCCACCACCACCCGGTTTACAGTGGATTCTTAACTCACACACAAAATTAATTTGAAATGAACCAATCGGGTTTATGTTCCTCAGTTGGAGCTCAATCTCTGGCTTATGTGTACAACTTCTTTTTACTGTTTTTATCTACGATTCTCAAGAGTCAGATATTAAAGTTTAAACCTGATAGATCCACAGAGCAACAGAAAAAAAATCAGCCGACCCTTCTCTCCAACGTACCAGATAGAAAAAGCCCGAGGATCTTTCCAAGCCCTTCTTCATGCCTTCTTGTGACCATCTTCACCCAGATCCTCCAGAAAACTCTACGGTTCATTATGGTTAGTGGAACATGGACTCTGCCCCTGAATCAAGGTTTAACTTATTGTTTGTCTCCTAGCAACAACACAAACAAATCTGCAACATTTGTGAGGTCCAGTACTACAGACTGACTCCAGTTCAGTCTCTGTGTTCTCCACTGTGGAGGGAGAGACCTATCTCTGACCTGCTCCGATTCTCTAGGACTCCTTAGTGTTGGCATTCACATGCACACACATCATTACCCACATGCAACAGTAAAATTCCACACACATGCACTAGGGAGTTAGAGGCAAAGGGAACTCTGGCCACCCTGTTCAAGGCCACCCTGGTCTACACGGCAAGTTCAAGGACAGCCAGTTCCACACAGAGAAACCCTGTATTGGGGAGAGGGGGCAGGGATCCTCAAGAATTTGAAATTAGCTATAGGCCTTTAGACAGCAAAAAGTGTGTGAGAAGAGGGCAGTAAATAAATTTAATTTACATAAAGTTAAGATTTGCACATGAACTGGATGGGCACAGTGTTCTATCCTTTAATTCCAGCACTTGGGAGGCAGAGGCAGGTAGATCTCCAAATTTGAGGCTGGCCTGGTCTATATACATATCATCTACCAAGTCAGTTAGAGCTAGCTATTGTGGTAGTTTGCAAGCAATTGGCCCCCACAACCTTACAGGGAGTGGCACTATTAGGAGGTGTGCCTTTTTTGGAGGGTGAGAAACCCAGACCCCAGCACGTCCATAGTCCTAGGACAATCTGTGAACATCCTGGCTCTGAACTCAGAGCCAGTGAAAGAAACACACCCTGGATCTGGGACCTAAGCCAGCAAAAGAAACACTTTATCCCTGAACCCAGAGTCAGAGAGAAAAAATACCCTGACCCTGAAACCAGAACCAAAAGAACACACTTTGCCCCTAGAACCAGAGCCTAAAATTAGAGCCTAAAAAATAAAAAGGACCACAGAAAGAAACACAGTTGGGCTTTGAAGTCAGAGCCATCTCTGCCCAAGACACAAAACCAACTGATCCCCGAGCAGGAAAACCCAACCAATCCCTTTGTAGGGAAGTAGTACCTCTAGTCTAGAGGCAAAATCTTTTCCAATCCTTAGCCCAGGGAAGTAACTACCTCTAGTCTAAGGCGTGACATCTCCCTGACCCCTGACCCCATGGGCTCCTCCCCTTATGGGAGGGCCAATCAGAAGCTGGCCACCCATAGGGGGCTATCCTGGGTTTCTTGCTCTTCCATATGAAGTTGAATATCATTCTTTTGAGGTCTTTGAAGAATTTTCCTGGGCATTATGTTGAATCTGTAGATTGCTTTTGGCAAGATTGCCATTTTTAGTATGTTAATTCTGCCTACCCCAAAGCATGGGAGATCTTTCCACTTTCTGGTGTCTTCTTCAATTTCTTTCTTCAAAGATTTAAAGTTTTTGTCATACAAGTCTTCCACTTGTTTGGTTAGAGTTACTCCGAGATATTTTATGTTATTTGTGGCTATTGTGTTGATTCTCTGATTTCCTCCCCTGCCCTTTTATCATCCGTACAGGAGGGTTACTGATTTTTTTTGAGCTAATCTTGCATCCTGGGGCTGGAGAGATGGCTCAGAGGTTAAGAGCACTGACTGCTCTTCCAGAGGTCCTGAGTTCAACTCCCAGCAACCACATGGTGGCTCGCAACCATCTGTAATGAGACCTGGTGCCCTCTTCCTGACTGTAGGCATACAAGCAGACATAATACTGTATACATAATAAATAAATAAATCTTAATAGAAAATCTTGTATCCTGCTACATTACTGAAAGTGTTTATGAGTTGTAGAAATTCCTTGGTAGAATTTTTGGGATCACTTACGTAAACTATCATATCATCAGCAAACAGTGAGAGTTTGACTTATTCTTTTCCAATTTGTATCGCCTTGATCTCCTTTTGGTGTCTTATTGCTCTAGCTACTACCTCAAGAACTATATTGAATATAGATATTGAGAGAGTGGACAACCTTGTCTTGTTCCTGATTTCAGTGGAATCTATGGGAGTTTCTCTCCATTTAGTTTGATGTTAGCTATTGACTTGCTGTATATTGCCTTAATTATGTTTAGGTATGTTCCTTGTATCCCTGCTCTCTCCAAGACCTTTATCATGAAGGGATGTTGTATTTTGGCTTTTTCAGCATCTAATGAGATGATAATGTGTTTTTTTTTTTTTTTTTTTTGGTTTTTCGAGACAGGGTTTCTCTGTGGTTTTGGAGCCTGTCCTGGAACTAGCTCTTGTAGATCTGCCTGCTTCTCTACCTCCCAAGTGCTGGGATTAAAGGTGTGTGCCACCACCGCCCGGCAGATAATGTGATTTTTTTTTGATAATGGGATTTTTATTTTTCAGCTTTAAAACAAAGTCTTTAAGGAAACAATGTACAGATAGTCACAGTTTAAAGGAGTAAAGATAATAAAATAAATATTAAAAAGTAATAGAGTCAGGCAGTGGTGATGCACGCTTTTAATCCCAGCACTCAGGAGGCAGAGGCAGGTGAATCTTTGTGAGTTCAAGGCCAGCCTGGTCTACAAGAGTTAATTCCAGGACAGGTAGGACTGTTATACAGGGAAACCCTGTCTTGAAAAAAAAAAAGAAAGAAAAGAAAAAAAAGTAATAGAGTAAGAAAAGTCACGTAAAGATGGGATATACAGAAAAGTCTGGATTATGTATATTATTGTGCTTTCTTTGAAATTTTTGACTGTGAAGGAGCTAAGTAACCAACATATATACTCTAAAGATATCTTGTCTTCAAAATTTGGGTCTAAGGATTTGTTGCTTTAGAAAAGAGGTTCTTCTTTTGTTTCCACAGAGGATGAGAACCTGTGGAATCCTTCCAGACTAATGTGATTTGATGGACCAACATCTCCTGAAAGGTCACCTTGAACACCCCTCAAAAAATTACTTTGTCCAATAAACAGTGGAAAGCAGTTTGAAGAGAACTACTCCCATATTCCCAAATATTGTTTATAAATGTTTGTTTACATGTAAGGGGGATATGATATAGAGATAAATACTTTGCATTGGTATGGATCTTGGTTTATTTATATAATTTTTTGTTCATTTTTAATTTTTTAAATTTTTCCATGATTTTTATTGAGTTCTACATTTTACTCTGCTCCCCTCCCTGCGTCTCTCCTTCCCCCTCCAAGCACCCCCAAGGTCCTCATCCTCCCAATTTACTTAGGAGATCTTGTCTTTTTATACTTTCTACTTCCCATGTAGATTAGATCTATGTAAGTCTCTCTTAGTGTCCGTATTATTGTCTAAGTTCTCTGGGATTGTAGTTTATAGGCTGGCTTTCTTTGCTTTATGTTTAAAAAACCACCTGAGTGAGTACAGTGATAATTGTCTTTCTGTGTCTGGGTTACCTCACTCAAAATAATGTTTTCTAGTTCCATCCATTTTTCTGCAAAATTTAAGCTGTCATTATTTTTTTCTGCTGTGTAGTACTCCATTGTGTAAATGTGCACTTTTTTAAATCCATTCTTCGATTGAGGGACATTTAGGTTGTTTCCAGGTTCTGGCTCTGACAAACAAATATGAGCATATGAGCATAGTTGAGCACGTGTCCTTGTGGCACGATTGAGCATCCTTTGGATATATACCCAAAAGTGGTATTATTGGGTCTTGAGGAAGGTTGGTTCCTAATTTTCTGAGAAATTGCCACACTGACATCCAAAGGGGTTGTACCAGCTTGCATTCCCACCAACAATGCAATTCTCTGAACTTGAGGCCAGCCTGGTTTACAAAAGTGAGTTCCAGGACAGCCAAGACTGCAGAGAAAACTTGTCTTAAAGCAAACAAACAAAATGCTATAGGCGTGTAGAGATGGTCCAGTGTTTAAGAGAATTGACTGTTCTGCTCTTCAAGAGGTCCTGGGTTCAGTTTCCAGAAATCACACAAGATTGTGTGGTTTCTAATAAAATCTAATACCCTCTTCCAATGTGAAGAACAGGCAGATAACATACTCAAGTACATAAAATACACAAATAAATCATTGTCAGGTAGTGGTGGTAAATGCCTTTAATACCCAGAGGTAGGCAGATATCTGAGTTCAAAGCCACCATGGTCTACAGAGCCAGCTCCAGGATAGCCAGGACTATGCAGAGTAACCCTGTCTTGATAAACAAAACAAACAAACAATTAAAAATTGCAATAGAAGAGAGTTAGTGTTGACCTCTGACTTTCGTACAGCCATATCCTGGCAAGCACACAAGAAACACATCCAAATAAATAATGTCAATAAAGAAAACTTTAATGGAGTGGCAGGGTTGGGGAGATTGGCAAGGAAATGCCACAATCCTTGTGGGAATGTAAAATAGTACAGCCACTGTAAAAATAGCTGAACATTATGTCAAAAGATAAATATAGAATTATCATATGACCCAGAACTGCACCCTCTGTTACCGTATATCCCCAGAAGGACTGAAAACAGTTCAAAGGAAAGATGGTGAGTGTTATGCAGAGGAGGGGAGAGAGAGAGAGAAAACACATTGAAGCAGGGTCCATTATGTAATCCTGCCTAAGCTGGTATTCACCACATAGACAAGGCTGGTCTTCAACTTGCAGTCATCCTCCTGCCTGGGATTATAGGGAGGTACCACGCAGGCCAGCTGGACAACTCTTTTCCTTTCGTCATTACAGTTTCTTTGCTAGAGTTCTCTAATACTCAAAAGCTTGGTTATAGAGTGGGTTTATAAGGCCTCGTAACAGAGGGATAATGAGTTTAGAGTAAGGTGGGCATGACAAAATACCAAAATGTCAACCAAAAGTACCCCTTGATCGAAAAAAAAAAAAAAGAAAAGAAAAGAAAAGGAAGGAAAGGAAAGGAGCAAGAAACACTAAGTGTGGTTGCACAAGTCTGTTTCTCAGCCAGTCAGGAGGCTGAAGGAGAAGGAATACAAGTTCTAGCCTTGCCTGTTATAATGACATTTAAGTCCTGCCCAGGCAACTCTGTGAGACCCTCACTATAATGTTGTCCTCTTTTTAAATTTTTTGTTTGTTTGTTTGTTTGTT